CTCTCCCGCGTTCAACTCGACGAATAAATTTGACCACTCAGTCTACCTTTCAGTCCTAGGATTCGGGTCTCTTCTTACTAATAAAACTTTTAATCACACTTTTATTTGAGAGTGTTTGCTTCGAATATATGCGGCTTCAGTTGTCGCAGTGAAGGTCTATAGGTGAGTAGTACGAACTTCAGCTAACCACTGCAAGTAGCGATAGGGCTGTAACTTTGTTGTCGTCAGTGAGTAAGTTAATTTATTGATTGCCATTTCATAGGCAAGGCAAGCTGTACTGTCCTGCACTTGTTGATTTTAATTAGAAAATGTTCCGGTTCCGACTGCAGTTCGCTATTTACAACAATCTTGCTGAATCACAACTTTACCTGAATAAAGTTTTCAAAGTGTTTCTCCTCTATCGAAGCGTCCTACTGAAATTTTGCCTTTTTGGGGTGGGGGAGGGGAACTATTTAACAATCTTCAGAAAATAATGACTGCTGGAATTTGCCCCGAAAACTGGTTAAGTCCAGCAGTTAGAACGCATCTTTGTCGCGCAAGCTGCGAGGTCCTTCGAAGTCAGCAGAAACAGCAGCCGACTGATAAGTCCACTTCCAACTTTGTAAAGTACTGTTGACTTGTAGAACACAATGCCGGGTTGTCTATCGGTACCGAACCATCATTATCACAATGAAACGCGGTTGGAGAAGCACGAACGTCTGTACATATTCTTTCTTACATACTTTTACTAAAGTTTTTTTTGCAAATATTAAACGCCTTCACAATACACTTCATTACAAGTCAAAGGGGATAAAATGTAATCAGTGGGTCGTCCGTAAGAAGCCATTTCCGCCTATCGCTCGGTATATCGATTTATCGATATCTACTAGCTATCTATTTTGCGGATAAACCCGATCTCTGTTAGATACAATGCTCTCGATTGATAGATATCCAATAGGTGTTGTTTGCTACTAGGGCCAAGGTAAGGATGACTTTTGTAGCTGCCGAAACAGGATACCGGAAGAGGAACCACCCACAATGCATAGGGCTTTGTGTCAAATTCGCGGAAATTATGTTTAGGATTGAGGTTGGAATCAAGATCAACAAACTCATTCCGGTAAGCAAACATGGTATATGGACCAAGATTATGTTCAAGTTCAAGGTTTGGGTTCGTGTCGAGCGTAGGGTTTAGTGCTAGGGTAAGATTTAGTTATCTAGACGAATTCATCTACAGTCCGGAGGCCATAGCCCACAGGTAATCTAAAACCCGGTTAAAGCCGTGGCTGGTGAAATAGGCCCTGAATGAGGCCAATGGGCGGGGGGAAATGATTCTTGCATCTCCTGAATCCGACGTCTGATGTCTTCGATTCCCCGCCTCCGGTAAACCTGTTTAATTGGTGATATGTAGCTGCCCGGTCTCACAGTCGTCAGGCCTTACGTACGCGAGTGTGACAGTCTCCTCCCGCGCGCTTCACTCCATCTCCGACTTGCGACCTTGTGGCGCCGATCGATATTTCTGTGAATATAATATCGCTCACCGGAGGCTTGAGCCAGCTATCCAGTTTCGAAGCTTCGACTGCCTTGGGCTGATCGATTTTTA